TAGACTTCTCTGTTTTTGCTGAATCAGGTGATTGGAGTCGTGCTTGATGCTTTGTCTTCCTTATCCCTCATATCCCATCCTTTCCAATTCTTGCCAACTCCACCTCTGTTACATCTTTCACATCCGTCCCCTTCTCTCCATGAATACAGTCTCTAACCTTATTCACAGTCTCATTATCTCTTGCCTAGACTTTTGCAGTGACCTCGTAATTGGTCTCTGCTTCTAGCACCTTCCCTCTCTAATCCGTTCTTTAAATAGTTGCCAAATTGATATTGATGAAACAGATTTGACTTTGTAATTCCTACGCTCAAAAATCTTCAAAGACTCCCTACTTCCTCTTAAGAATCTTCAGTCTAACATTTAATGCTGTCCCCAGTTTGACCCCCATTTGCCTGTTCAGTCTTATTTCATATTATTTCCATTCACAAACTCTCCATTCTAGTCAGACTGGTCTAAGAGCTGTACTCTGTGTACAACGTTTCATTTCCTGCCTCTGGTCGGGCGGTCCCCCTTGTTCCTCAAGGACTTCTACCTTTTAGAATCCCTATCATCATTCACAGTATAACATAGGTACCACCTCCTATGTGAGACATTTCATTAGTCCCCGTTTGAAAGTCTTTCTGCCATTCAGACTGTTATCTATCCCTCTGAGCTCTATGTTATCGAGCGCGCTATATATGCTTTTATCTAAGTCCTTGATGAAAATCTTTTAAAAGAACAGAACCAAATACCTATCCCTAGAGCCCTCTGTTAGAGGCTTTCTTGAAAATTGACGTTGAACCATTAATGACCATTCTCAGGGCCCAGCCATTCAACCAGTTTCAAATGTACCTAATTGTTTTACTCTAGGCCGCCTCTCCATCCTTAGAACAAGAATAATGTGAGAAACTTCATTAAACATTTTGCAAAGCTCCAGGTAACTTATGTCCACAGAATTCTCCTAATCTACCCTTCTAGTAACTCTGTCCAAAAGTGAAATTAGATTACTCTGGTGCTTTGTCTTCTTGTTCCAGCCGTGCTGGCCTTTTGTGACCATTGTTTCCCTTTGTGGGTGTTCACCAAATATTAATAATGACGTCTATAATTTTGTGAGGAATCAAAGTCAGGCTTTTTAGTCTGTGCTTTCCAGACTCCATTCTCTTTATTTTTCTGAAAATCAGGAGATTTCCCCTCATCCCATTGTGCCTTACCTCTTTAGTCTTTCAGTGGACATTGACAGTGACTCAGTAGTCGCATCTGCCAGGTGAGCCTTCTCAGTAGGGCCTGAGGAGCTGAACTCATCCAGGGGACCTAGGTGCTGTTTTCCTCTCTCTTTGAAATTATCTTGGTTGTCAACTTTTTGTCAGCCATTTTTGTTTTGTCCTTTCTTGACAGGAAAGACAAGAAAAGGAAAGTCCAGGGAGAATTGGACAGGCTCTACCTCCTGTCTTTCAATATCATCGTCATCGTCATCCCATCTACTCCATGAAATGGCCCTGTTACTTCTTTGGTTCCTCCTCTCTTCCCCAGTAGAGCTCAAAAATGAAACAAAAACCCCACAAATCCAATCTTTCCTGTTACACTTAGTTCTTCTTGCCATACTCGGCTCATTCTGAACTTTAGCACTCCTGTTATCATAAAACCATGCCTCACTTTTGTGTCCCTCCTCCATTACCTCCCTTGCTTCTATCTTCCGTAGATATCTTTGAAAAATCTGAGTTGATGATGAGTTCCTTGTGCATATACATATATAGGGAGCTTTAGAAAATTACTCCTTTTCTTCCCCATCATATCTGGGGTTTTGTTTTTTTTTTTTGAGTCTTCAGAATTTCATCTTAGAGATTCGCTTCTCTGGGGCTGACTTTCCATGTAGAATTTGAATCTATTGAATATTATGTAGCCTTTTTCTGAACTCCTTTGAAAACTGCTTTCCCCAGATCTTGGGTATATATCAGAATATTCCTGGCTTTCCTCTCCTTTATCCCAAACTCAAAAGATGAAGTGGGTTTTTTTCCCACCTAAGGTTCCCCTCATTTTTGGTCCAGTACCGGATCATTCTTAAATTGGTGAAAATCAGATCTAAAACAGAAGTTCTCCTCAATTGTTTCTCTGTGTCTTGAATAATAAAATCATTATTAAGGCAATCAAGAAATTGTTAATTACTCTCTGAATAAAAAATGTATGCAAGTCACATTTTTAAGTTTAATCTGTATTATTGACATTTTCCCCATCACTTTCTTAAGCACATAATCAACAGAATAAATCAAGCCCTGATTTGTAGCATTTCCTGATTTCCAAGCATAAATATACACACTGAAAATTTAACAATTAGCTTTCAAGAGTCAGTGAGATCTGGCTCCAGTGCACCCCCATTAATGTTACATTCCCCAACATCCTTTTAACTATCTTTTTTTTCCCCTTTTGAATAAGGGAGCCATATTCTGCTCAGGGGTCTCATTCCACCAAGACTCAGTGATACCCTGCAATGTCAATTTTTTTCTCCTTGAATTAGGAGCGCTACGGTCACCTTCCTTGTGACTCATTTGTTGTAAATTTGTGAATAGACATCTGAGGCTATGGGGTTTTTTGCTGTTTTCTTTCTGGTATATAGTTAGTGCTTAATAAATGCTTGTTGACTGACTGTCTTGGATATTTTCTCCTGTGAATTTCTGGGTGTCTCTAAAGCTATTCTCCTAATACTGCAGCCAATGCTTATTGTACATGGTTTGGTGGATATATGGACGTAGTTTTTTTCTTCCCTCTTGCCTTTCAGTTTAGAGCAGTTTTGATTGGATTTGCTTAGACTTTGGACTAAGTGCATTTTATTTGTCCTCATTAAGTGCATTCCATCCCTAACCAGGAGCCTATCATTCCAATTCAAAAATCTGAGTTCTGTCCTTGATGTCTGCCTTTCTGTCCAGAAGCCTCGCCCTCAGTCAGCGGCATTGTTGAAAACACTACTTGCTCCCTTTGGGTCTTCAGTTCATTGCACAGGACTCCATAGCTTTCTCAAATCCTCTCGGTCGTATCATTTGTGCCCAAGCAGTTCATCGGGTCGGCATCCAATCTGCCAGGTATTAGGACAGTCTTTGTCACTCTACACCCTCAGGCAAGAAAGCATGCCTCTGGCAGAATGCAGGCTCCTTGGGAGCAGAGATTGACGAGCTTTTGTTAGGACTTAGCACAGTCCTTGGCTCACGGTAGGCACTTGAGAAATGCTTGTTTTATTGATCCATTCAACAGATACCCCAGTACCCCTCAGGAGAGATTCCCTAACCACCTCTTCCTCCTCTGACCCTTACTGGATTGTCTCACAGATGAGTGCCTCTGTGTATCCACATAATCATCCCTCAGAGGAGAAGTAATTTGCTTCTTTCTCAGAGCTCTCAGCTTTCTCTTCTTCTGGAATAGCCAGATCCCTGTTACTTGATCCTAAATGTTCAGTGGTTTTCTTACCTTTCTACTCTGTGGGACATCCTTCCATCCTTCTCTCATTGTCTCTTCATATCCCTTTCCTTCTTTGGTTTCATACTGGGACTCCTTTCTCATTTTTTTTTTTTTTGAGGCAATCAGGATTAAGTGACTTGCTCAGGGTCACACAGCTACCTTTCTCATTTTTCAAAGCAACACTGTTCTCTCTGATAACCTGGAGAGCAGAAAGGCATTCTTTCAGCCTACTCTGTCTTTTGTTCTAGGAGAGAGACAGGCATATTCTCTGAGCACTGAGAGCTTCCACTTGGCTATGGCAGAAATGCCAAGGTCTCACCCTCCTTGCAGGTCACCGAAAACTTCTTCCAGTTCTCCCTAAATTTCCTGCATGAAATGAGCTGGCATCTCCACTTTGTCCTCTTGATCTCCTCCTCCGAGCCCTCTGAGGGTTAAGGAGGGGACTCTGGCTCGAGCCCTGGAGAGTCTTTAGGCTGAGAAGGCTTCAAACATTGGCCCATGAGACTGCCGTGTGGCCAACTGATGAACAGTGTAACTGAGAATAAATAGCACCCCCACCCCTCCTCCAGTGCTTTAAGGTTTAAAAATCACTTTACTCACTACTCTGTGAGGCAGTTGGCACAAATATCATCTATATTTTACAAATGAGAAAACCGAGTCTCAGAGAAAGGAAGTTTCTTGCCTGCAGTACCAGAGGCAGAATTTTAACTGGTCTCCCCATTCCAAGTTCCTGGATCCAAGTCTGTCCCTCTTTCTATGGCCTGCTGCTGAGTGCAGAACAGCTCATCACCAGATATGTGGTGGACCACCAAGGAGTGAATTTTTTTCAATCCCATCAATTCATAAAGAACTATCTATTAATGGGTAGGAAGGGCTGAGATCTGCACTAGTGGAGGGTGCCCCCATACCAATGAAATTACATGTCCTTGGGCTGCTAAAGTAAGAAATAAATTGTTATGTTTTGCATTTCTGTGAAAATCTTTTAGTACTTTTCAAACTTTAATCCTTAAACAACTCTAATTTTTTTTTTAATTGGTGGGGCGATTGGGGTTAAGTGACTTGCCCAAAGTCACACAGCTGGTGAGTGTTATGTTATGTGTCTGAGGTCAGATTTGAACTCAGGTCCTCCTGCCTCCAGGGCTGGTACTGTATCCACTGCATTGCCTAGTTACTCCTCAACTCTAGATTTAGACAGACACACAATACTTTCACTTTCTAGATAGCAAATGGCCAGTGAAGCAAAATGAGTTTGAAGTTATTGGCTTAAAAGTCCTATAGGAATGTTAGCATTCTCTTTTACCTCATAATGGAGAGGATTGAAATATAGGAAGATATGGGTGAGTGGCAACATTCCTCTAGGGCTCAGTTTTCTCAGCTGCAAAATGAAAGGGGGTTGGACTGAATATGGTCTGAAAAATCCTTTTTTGGCTCTAAATCCTATGACTATAAGCTCCTTGAGGACAGGGTCTATGTCATACCTTCTTTGCATTCCCAGGGCTGAGTAGCTGCTTAATAAATGTTTGTTGAATAACTGATTGGATTATTTTGTGTAATTGTGTCTTATCTCATTTCAGAGACTCACATGTGAGAGAGATACTCTCCAAAAAGATCATGAAGAACTAAAACGAAAATGTGATGGCATAAAATCCCGGAACAAAGTGTTATCCAATGAAGTTAAAACATTTAAGAGCCAAATTGCAACCCTGCTTGAGAAAGGCAAACATGATGATGAGCTCATAGATGCTTTAATGGTATAACCTTCAGCAGGGGGAAATAGTTTAAGTGGAGGCACAGATGAAGGGGGGAATGCATAAGACTCATATGAAGGGACAAAGAAAAGTAATAAAAGCTAGCTGAAGGACCTTCAGGAAGATCCAGCCTTCTGCCTTGCCCCTGGGAGAAGTGAAGTTAGCATAAATCATGACTGTCATAAAAGAACTTCACTGTTGGTATTCAGATATGTCCTTTTTTGATCTAAGAAATCTCCCCCAAGTAGTACATGGATCACCTTGGGCTAAGTATGAGACTCTCCTGTTCTTTTCAGGGTGTCTAAAAGAGCTTTATTCCTTTGGGTCTAAAAGACCTTTGTCTTAAAAGCCATCTGACAATGCCTTTTTGGGGAACCAGCTTTAACCATTATCAGTTGATGCCTTAGTGTGCTTCTAGCCAGTGAAGAAAAAGGTGACTGCTTTTGGGGGTTAGGGGTAGGAACTGTGAGTGGAATAGACTGTCTCCCAAGTTTTTCATGATTCAGAGGGTAGCAAAGGATTCCTCATGTCCGTGGTAGGAGCCACACATGCTTATTCTAGGGCAGCTACAGTCCCAAGTCCTGGCTTCTCCAAAGAATACCAAACCTCATTCTGGGGAGGAAGGGAGCTTAGTGGAGAGGGAAGAGAGGAAGTTGAAGACTACTGAGGAAAAAATTGGGTCCAAGGTTAATGGCCTGCCTGTGTTTTCCCTTCCCTGTGCAACGAAGAGCTCCTTCGTGAGTATAACTCAAGGGAGGTCTCTGGAGGTATGCTCCAGAGCTCTATTTCTATCCAAGTTTTGTTTAACATTTTTATCAATGACCTACATGGAGCCATAGATGGCATGCTTATCAGATTTGCAGATTACACAAAGGTAGGAGGTTTAGCTAATATGCCGGATGCCAGAATTAGAATCTAAAAAGATTTGGACTGGAACGATGGACTGAAATTAAGATGATAAAGACAGAGATAAATGTTACGTCCACAAAATTTGAGGGTAGGGTTCAAAAAATTAACCTACAGAAGTACAGGATAGAGAGATGTGGCTCGACAATGGTTCATGTGAAAAAAGGCCAAAGAGGTTTTTGGTGGCCTGCAAGCTCAAAACAAGTCAGCAGTATAACGTGGCAGCCCCAAAGTTCCTGCAGTCTGAGGTTGCGTGAATAGAAGCCCTCCATCCAAAGAGTGACGGAGGAGATAATCACATTGTCCTTCACCCTGCTCAGGCCACATCTGGCGTATTGTATGGTTACAACATTTTAGGAAAGACAATTACAGTCTAGAGTGTGTCTAGAAGAAGGCAGCTATGATGATGAGAAGCCTAGAAATGATGTCATTCAAAGATTTTTAAAGGAAACCTGGGAAAGATGAGATTTGGGGTTAGGGGTTGGAGGGATTGTGGCTCTTTCCTGGCATTTCCGGGGCTAGCATGTGGGGAGGGATCTAAATTTATCCTACTTGACCCCACAGGATGGGAGCAATGTGGTGAAGACCCAGAAAAGCCTGTTTTGACTCAGTGAAAGGAGAAGTTTCCCAACAATGAGAACTGTCCAGAAGTGGAACAGGCTTCTTTGAAAGGTCATGTGGTCAGGGCAGCTAGGTGGCACAGTGGATAGAGCTCCGATCTTGGGGGCAGGATCCGGCCTCAGACACTTGACACTTACTAGCTGTGTCTTCCTGGGCAAGTAACTTAATCCCGATTGCCTCGCCAAAAAGCTAAAAAAAAAAAGAAAGGTCATGTGTACCCCGTCCTTATAGGTCTCCAGACAGATGTTAAGTGATTGCCTGTCAGGGATGTATTCCTGCTTCAGGTACTCATCAACTGAGATGTCCCGTGAGATCCCTTCTTGCTCTGAGAGTCTTGAAATTCTGGGGCCTTCGGAACAGTGATCCCCAATAACTTTTATTTTTAATCTCCTCAGAGCCAGCTAAAGCAGCTACAAAATATCTTAAGTAAACTCAGCCACCAGGACGAAAAGGCCAAGGAGGCTCAGCAGAACATGGGCCAACAGCTGACCATGGAGGCGCAGAAGAACGACTGTATTATAGCCCAGCTCCGGAGGATGGTGGCTGAACGAGAGGCCAAGGTCCAGGAGCTGGAAGAAGAAATTGACCGTCTTACTCTTCAGGTAGAAGCATAGTGCAAGCATATGCAAGCCATGGCCTTAAAAGCTTTTTGCATGTGATAATTCACCTTGGTGATTTGTTATTATTATTATTATTTATTATTATTATTATTATTATTACTGGTAGTAATAAGAGCCACTTAGTGGAATATAGTGGAAGTGCATGGAACCAAGGAGCCAGGAGATCTGAGGTTTAAGTCTACCTTCGTAATCATTGTTCTGTGTGACTCCATGGGCTAAACCACCTTTCCAGGGTTCTACTTCCTTAGAGTTTCCCTAGATTGCTTTGTCTAGAGCCTCCATCTCAAAATTTCTCAGAATATAGCTGATTAAGGACTCAAAGGAACATTGGAGGTCATCAAGCATAACTTCGTTTTACAGATGAGATCACTGAAGTCCACAGAGGTGGACTGCCTTGGCCAAGGTCACACAGGGTTAAGTAAGGTTTTGAACCCAGGTTCCTTAACCCCAGATGTGGTGCTCTTACTATACCATGTCATTTCTTGGCAAACCATGAAGAGAGGACAATAAAAGGTCATCTTGGAGGCTTCCTGGCCAAGGCTTGATACCTATTAATAAATGCATTATCCCAATCGTGAGTATGAGTTGGAGATGTCTTCACGGGGGGTGCTTCTCATAGAGCATTTTAGATTCTTCTCCCCTGAATTTTCCTTTGTCGGGACTTCACCTTTGCCTCATTGCATTGTCATTTCATAGTAATTTGTGAACATGCTACAGCAGCCACATTCAATTATTTTTATTATTATATCATTTGTATTTCCAATACTTAGCACAGGGCTTTGCACGCAGTAAGTACTTAATAAATGTTTTTTCTTTCATTTGTTCGTTCATTCCGAGCTCTTTGAGATCTGGGACCGTGCCATTTCTCATTGTTGTCTGCTCAGCCCTGATTAAAAGGCCGCAGATATAGTGGGAAGCTGAATCATGGTCTATTGAATTGGATGATAAAAGCAGCATAGATAATGCATGCTCCCTAAATACCTGCTACAGGGTTAGGATGAAGAGCTAGGGAGCCTGTCTTCTTACACAAGATTGTTTTCCAGGCCACGTGGCTGTTCAGGAAGCCAGCCCACTGCGGATGTGCCCCACTGCTAGGCGGGGCTTCTCTGTCCTTGCTGATGCTGTCAGAGAAGAGGGTGGCTAGGGCTGGTATGGGGTTCTGAGGCCTGTGGTATTTCATGTTTTGCCTTTGCCTCCACTGAACTTCCTTCCTCACTCTCCCTGCCTCCATCCTGTGGCAGAAGAGATTCAGGCACACGCCAGTCAACAAGAAATTAATTTGAAAAATATTGACTGAATAGATATAATGTGCTGGTCACTGGCTCAGACAATATAAGAGATAAAAATGAAAGGAAAGGTCTTTGCCTTCAAAGAGCATACAGTTCTTTTAAAAAATAAGTTTTTAGGGTCAGCTAGGTGGCACAGTGGATAGAGCACCAGCCTTGGATTCAGGAGGACCTGCGTTCAAATCTGGCCTCAGACATATAACATTTACTAGCTGTGTGACCCTGGTCAAGTCACTTAACCCCATTGCCTAGCCAAAAAAACAAAAGTTTTTATTGAAGACTTCTGTGTTTTATTTCACCATAATTTTCCCCAGCGTGCCATCCCATATAACAAATATTATTTTTTTAAGACAGAAAAGGAAAGAAAAAAGACAAAATCAGCACACCTGATCAACACACTGACAAAGTCTGAAAATATGCAAAGACTTGGATTGGGGTTGTCTTTGCCTCTTTCTTCATTCAAGTTCTGCTTGTATTTTATAATTTTGTTATATTCACTTCTGATTTTTTTTGGTGTGTTCTTTCCATTTCCATTGTCATAGTATTGTGTATATTGCTTTATTGGCTCTGCTTAGAGTGTACATTTTTTTAAAGTGTATAATCTAATTGGGGAGATAAGATAAATTTTTTCAAAAGATCCAGGATTTCATCAGTGTGAGTACACCCTCCTTCCCAACCTTCCATGGTTCTCTAATGAGTTTTAGTCTTGCATAACCAACTACCTGCTGAGCATCTCCACCTGAGTATGCCAAAGGCCTCTCCAACTCAATACTTCCAAAACAGAATTAATTCATTCTCTCCCCTCCAAACTTGCCCCTTATATAGCCTTCCCTGTTTCTGTCGAGGGTCACACAATTCTCCTAGGAACTCAAGTATACAACCTCAGAGACATCCTCAAGTACTTGACTCTCCCTCCTCTCCCACGGATGATCAATTGACAGGTATTGCTGCTTCAGTCTCCATAATCCTTTCGGGTCTGTCCGCTTCTCTTCACTCATGTGCCACTAGCCTACCAATCCATTAGACTCTCATCTGGTTTCACCTGGACCAACATCATAGCTCTCTTACCATCTGCTTCGAGACCCTCCATCCCAGTGCTTCTGGACACAGTGGTCAAGGAACACTCATTCAGTGGCTCCCTATTGCCTCTAGGTTGAGGCACAAGCCCCTCAATTTGGCATTTAAAGCCCTGAACAATTTGGATCCAGCTTCCTCTTTCAGACAAATTTCACCTCACTCCCTTTCAGACACTCTACATTGCAGCCAAATGTGCCCACTGGCATTCACCTCCCATCATCTTTGTGGAGGGTGTCCGTCCTCACCTCCACTCAAGGCTCTGCTCAATGGCCACCACCACAGGTAGCCCTTCCATTCCTAAGCCTCCTGGTTAACAGTACTCCTTAAATTAGTCAGAGTATGTACCTTTCTGTTGACACATTGTATATCCCAGTGGAATGCAAGCTGTTTGAAAATTTGTGTTCCCCACACCTAGCAGTCTAGGGCCTTACATCTTGTGGCTGCTTAAGAATTTCGCTTGTTGGACTAAATTGAATTAGTTAATTATGAGTGTGTCAGAGGGTCCAATATCAGGGGTGGGGAACCTTTGGCTTGGAGGCCACATGTGGCCTTCTAGGTCCTTGGGTATGGCCTTTTGATTGAGTCCAAGTTTTACAGAACAAATCCTTTTATTTTTTTTAAATTTATTTTGATTTATCAACAATCACTTCCATAAGCTTTTGAGTTTAAAATTTTTCTCCCCCTCCTTCCCCAAGATGGTGCACAATCCCATTTAGGCTATACATATATATTCCTATTAAACATATTTTCACATTGGTGGTGTTGTAAGGAAGAATTAGAACCAATAGGAGGAACCACCAGAAAGAGGAAACAAAACACGACAGAAGAAAAAAAAATAGCAAATAGTATGCTTTGATCCGCATTCAAACTCTATAGTTCTTTCTTTGGATGTGGATAGCATTTTCCATCATGAGGCCTTTGGAGATGTCTTAGATCCTTGCATTGCTAAGAAGGGCTAAGTCTATCAACATTAGTCATCCCACAAGGTGACTGTTACTGTGGTACAGTGTTCTCCTGGTTCTGCTCACTTCACTCAGCATCAGTCCATACAAATCTTTCCAGTTTTTTCTGAAGTCCACTTGCTCATCATTTCTTATAGCACAATAATATTCCATTACATTCATATATCACAACTTGTTCAGCCATTCCTCGATTGATGGGTATCCTCTCAATTTCCAGTTCTTTGCCACCACAAAAAGAGCTGCTATAAATAATTTTGTACATGTGGGTCCTCTTCCCATTTGTATGATCTCTTTGGGATACAGCCCTGGAAGTGGTATTGCTGGGTCAAAGGGAACAAATCCTTTTATTAAGGGGATTTGTTCTGTGAACTTTGGATTCAGTTATAGGGTCACACTTAAGGACCTAAAGGGTCACATGTGGCCTTAAGGCCACAGCTTACCCATCCCTGGTCTAGTTCAATTCCCTCACTTCATAGAATGAGGAAGCTGAGAGCCAGAAAACTTCCAGCTATGCCCGGGGTGATTAGCAGCCAGAATTTGAACCCAGGTCCTCAGATGCTACCTCCAGTATTCTTTCTGTAGGAATGCATTGGCCCTCTCATGCTCTTGGTTTGCAGCTGTCCCCAATGGCCAACCTTTGGTGATGAGCCCCTGGATTAGTCAGGCTGGTCTTGAGCCGATGAGCATTCATTGCTAGGCCTCTCTTCAAAACCTTTCCCACTTGGGAGGGCCTGCCAGATCAGGCTGTTCTTGAGGGCTCTGGGGTCAGGCGGGGTCTTGCCCCAGTGAAGCACCGAAGGCCCAAAGTCACAAATACCCAAACAATAGCTGACAACAGGCCACCCTTCTTAGCTCTTTTTGGTTTATGCTGCATTTTCCTCCCAACTACCTTTGGAAATAGGTCGTACCAGTATTAGATCCATTTTAGAGATAAAGCAGCTCTGCCTCTTGGAGGTGAAGAGACCTGCTGGTCATGAGCTCATTACATAGGCAGGAAACGACAGAGCGGAAACTCAAAGTTTATAAGAACTAACTTCATTAAACTCCCCTGTGTTGTGTTCACCGCTAGTTCACATTTGCTGAATGCTAGCTCCTGGTGACTTTCTGACAGCACCTGAGCCGTGTCAGATAATGCCAGGGGTGTGCTGGTAGGTATTTAACTATCGGCCCTCTGGGAAGAAAAAGTGCAGATGACACTTTAAATTTTAGTCTGTATTATTAACAGTTTCCCCATCACGATCTTAAATCTATAAATCGACCAAACAATAAATAAAGTTCTGGTTTGTAGCATTTGCCAATTTCAGAGTTATAAATACATTGAAATTTTAACAATTGGCCCCCTTGAGCTAGTAAGAGCTAGCTCCAGTGCACCCCTGGACAGTGCCTGTGGATTCCAGAGGCTTTTCCCCTCAGCAGAGTTAGGTAGCAGCAGATGGGAGAAGAAGATTGAGTAGGAGAACCCAGAGCTCAAGTGAGTCCAGTTTAAACTCTGCCGTTTTATCTTCCATTATCCCCTGTGAGCTAGGGGCAAAGCTGCTGGTGGTGGTGGGGCCAGACCGGGGGACGGAAGAAACCTGCCAGTTCTAGGATAGCGTAAGTCATCATGGCGTTCTTCATTGCGACAGGTATGCCAAGAAGCTGAGCAAGGCAGGAGAGTGTGGCAGAAGGTACATTGGACTTGGAGTCAGAAGGTTCAGGATCTGACTCAAACACTCACTAACTTATCATTAATTGACCTAGAGCAAATCGTGTCGCCTTCCTGGGTTTCAGTTTTCTCATCAATACCTCTACCACCTGGCTCATGCCGCTGTTGCTCAGGAAGCGCTTTGTAAGCCTCGGAGTTTTGTAGACAGTCCCAGAGAGCCCTGTGTTCACCTAAGTTTGGAAGTTTTCTCCAGTGGTGTAGACCCTACCTCATCCCCGCCTGATCGTCTGCCTCTGTTCTTAGATCACCACAGGGAAGTCCATCCAGCCTGCTGGAGGCCATCCTCACCTTCTCCTGACATTGCAAGGGTATCCGTGGACCCCTGACTGTTGTCTTGCCCCAGCGTTGACCCTCATCTCAGCATCTTCTCCTTGTTTACTCTTTGCTAACGTCACTTATTCCCATTCTTCTCTGGAGTCCCTCGTTGGTTATACGGTACAACATGCTTGTATCTACCATGCACCCCTTCCTTATCCTCTGTGTGATACTCATGTTCAGTTTTTCAGAGGCATCTGTATTCTGGGCTTTGCTGCTGTGTTGTCACACCGGGCAAACGTTAGTATCAAGATGGGCAATCGCTTTCGTGGGAAGCATCACCAAAGGAACTCTGCGATTTGCCAAAGACAAGCCAGCCTGCTGCCTCCCTCCTTTTCCTCTCTGGGCCCAACTCCTTGTCCACCTGTATTGTCTGTCTCAGATACACAGCCCACTGGGCGAGCTCTATGGAAAGTCTATCCCAATGCATGTTGACACCTTTTCATTTAATTTCATCTCACTTCTTGGCTCGCCATAATGCTTGTGCCTTCTCTCTGAAATTGCCTTCTATCTACCCTATCTTGATCTTGTGTGTTCATGGTTGTCTACGTGTCGTCTTCCCCATCAGACAGTGAGCTCAGTCTTTTGCCTTTTTTTTTTTTAATTCCCAAGTGCTTAGTACATAGGTGCTTAGTAAATGTTTGTTGTTGGGGCAGCTAGGTGGTGCAGTGGGTAGAACACCGGCCCTGGAGTCAGGGGGACGTGAGTTCAAATCTGGTCTCAGACACGTAACACTTAAAAGCTGTGTGACCCTGGGCAAGTCACTTAACCCCATTGCCTAACCAAAAAAAAAATGTTTGTTGTTGACTAGGGACAGTTTAACAAAACATTTTCTTCATAACCACAATGAGGTAGATAGTCACCCCAATTTTAAGACTGGGAAACTGAGGCTCAGAAAATCAAATCACTTTCCCATGGCCGTATAACAAGTGTCATTCCAGGGTTCTAAGCCAAGTCACCTAATTTCCAAGTCCAGTGTTCTTTGTATTTTTTTTGGTTTTGTTGTTGAGCCATACCTGTGATTTCAAAGGCACAGAGAACTCCTAAGGAGGAAGTGAGGGCAGCTAGGTGGTGCAGTGGATAGAGTGCCAGGCCTGGTGTCAGGAAGACCTGAGTTCAAATCCAGCCTCAGACACTTACTGGCTTTGTGACCCTGGGTAAGTCACTTCACCCTGTGTGCCTCAGTTTCCTCATAGGTCAAATGAGCTGGAGAAGGAAATGGCAAACCACTGCAGTATCTTTGGCAAGAAAACCCCAAAATGGGGTCATAAAGAGTCCTATATAACTGAAAACAACTAAACAAAAAAAAATGAGGAAGTGCCCTCCAACAAAGCCGATTGATGCCTGCTGCCTGGGAAGGCTTTCAATGAGAAGTGAATTGCCCAGTCACAAAGCCAGGATGTATCAGAGGCCAGAGGACTTGTACCCAGTTTTTCCTGATTCTGAAGCCAACTTTCTATCTATTAGGCCACACTCTCTCTGTTCTTTCTACTATGTGAGGAAGATTAGACAATCTTTACATGGAAAAGGGAGATCGAGGGCACGTATCGGGCTTTTTAGCTCAAGCAAGTTTTGTTGTTGTTGTCTTTTATTAACGCTGATAGTGATCTCTATCACTCGTCTTCCAATCCTCAGTTCTCTTGGCTCCTGATCAAGAGGAGAAAGGAAAGGTTCTAGAGAAGCTTGGGGCAGGGGACCATGGCTAGCCAACTCCAAGCTGCCGCCACCATTCCCTGCTGTGGAGGCCTCTCCTGGGTCATCCTGGAAGGCTGACCACTTGGGCACATCAGCATCGTTATTTAATTTGTAACAGACGCATCTTCTGCCTTTCAAAGTTAGGAAATGGGGAGGCCGGGGCCAAGACCAGGGGACATAACACAAAATCAATATACAACACTCATCTCTAAAAGGGTTCATCATTTCCAGATCAGGAAAAGGCTGAACTAAAGAGCTAGGCACAGTGCCCTGCAAGTTTATAAACCCCAGCTGAATCAGTCTGATATGGTAATTTTCTGAGGGGCTAAAGATTTAAAGTGAATGTCTCAAAGTAGAAACTGCACATCTGTTTGGGGAGCTTTCAGTGTGTAACACTGTTAGGCCATCTGATTTACTGGCATGAAGGGAGGCATTATTAGATATCATTATTATGCAAGAGGCATTTTCATGAAGCCAAGCTCACTTTTCTCTCCTGCTGAAAAGAATCTTCTTTGTTTCATTATGACTTTTTGATGTGCATGCTAAATTTAGCAAAATAATAACAAAAATGTCCTTTTGCTTCTAGGACCCTTTCTGACTTCCTTTTCTTCTGTGCATTTTCTTTTTGTATTTTGTCAGCTAACTAACATAAGTATAATTAACAAGTTGCAGTGGCTGTATATGTTGTTCGTTCTGATTTCTTTGCTCTTCATAACTTCTTAACATCCTGTATTTCTTGGTATTCTTCATATTTGTCATTACAGTGCAGTAATGGTCCATTACTTTGGGGGTGGTCAGAAGACAGCTCGATTTAGGGTTGGTGAGGTCAAATTGTCCTGTTGCTTGCATGACCTCTGGGTAAGCCCACTGAAACTCACAAAGCCTCAGTTTCCTACTCCAGGGGGAAAGATGAGGTTGTACTAGATAATATTTAAAACGTTTTCCATCTCTAAATGATGTGATTCTAAATACCACAGTTCATTCAGCCACTCTTTTCCAAGTGTTTTCTATATGGGTTGTTTACAGGGTTTTTTTGGTTTTTGTTTTGCCATTACAAATAAAGTCACAGATGAGCATTTTTGTACAGAGAGACCTTTTTCGCCCCTCCCTTCTTTTTAATTATATCCTTGTAGAGTGCTCACAGGAGCATTCTTTGAGGCATCTGAAAGAAGATTCATAAAGAATGCTCCAGTTCATTTCTGTGCTTTTGAATGCTTGGGTTCCACAGCTTTGTCAAACCATGCTTGTGTTCCTTTTTTATTACTGCAGCATCTTCAGAACAAAGATCTAAGTGAGGACTCTGATTTAATGGATGGCAGCTCACTGTCTTCCAAGTTTATCGAGGAGCCAAACTTTAACCTACTCAAACCTCCTGCATCAGCCGGAGATCACATTGGGAGGGTCGGAGCTTCTCGGTAAGAGGCATGCAATTGAGATATTTGTAATGAATATCAATTATTCAGAAGGATATTGTTTCCTGCCAGCTATCCAAAACCACAAATGCCATTTTAAGATGACTGCGGCATTTCTTATACAATATATGGTTACTTCTTATTACATTATCTCTGCATTTGTAGGAAGGACCCATTTAAACACAGACATTATTACATTAGGAATGTGTCTATTACAGTTCGCTTTAATAATAGCTGCATGGTTGACTTTTAAGTGCCTCTGCTTCTAAGAATCTGAAACAGAGAGTCCATTTAATTATTCTCTGTGCTAGTGCTATGCCTCTGCTCACTTCTTCCTAAGGTGGCTGCCCATGACATGGTGGTGCCTTTGGGTTCTCAAAGGTTATATGGCAGCAGAGCGCAGCTTTGTCAGGTTCTACCTACTCAGAAAGGATTTGGATATGGTGCCAGCAGTGGACTGTAAGTCTTTTGTCTGAAGAGCAGCCTATCAAAGTACAGAGAGACTCATTACTTAGAGGACTGGCCAGAAGGCGTTGGTGCGTAAGTCATGAAGTAAGGATTGGAGGTGTTGGTGCAGTGGACACCACTCTACTGGGTAATGATGGATCCGTGAACTATGGAAGTGACATTGTTGCCATTATGATTGCATCTAGTTTTGAGTAATCAGGAGTTCTGAAACAGTCCCTCAAACAAGTGTGAAACCCTAGTTATGTGCTTCTAATGATCTTGGGGTGATGCTTTGGGTATGGGTCCAGAAATACTGAGAGAATTCCAGCAATAGCCAAGAAGTTGGTTTACACTTTCTGGAAACAGACTTGTCACTGTGGCTCCCTTGAATTTCTGCTCAGCCAGTTTCTGACTGAGCTTCTGTTTGATCCTCCTGAAAGACCCTCCTTGTTTCATACAGAATGGTGAGCAGCCTGGGGCACACTCTGGTGGAATCTTCAATCACTCAGCCCTCCCTCCCCAGCCCTAATGTGTCACCTCGAAGGTAGGTCCTCATGATGACTATGATTTTTTCCATTAACCTGCTGCTTTGCAGCTTCTCAAGTGCATTCCCATCTATCATCTCAAAAGCCCCATCCCGGTAGACAATGCAGGGATCATGCACCCCCATTTTGAAGATGAGGAAGCTGAGGCTCAGGGAATCTAAAGTGGCAGGAAAGGGATTTGATCTAAGGTCCTCCTCTCCACTTTAACAGTTGACATTTCAACAGTGCTTTAGACCTTGCAACAGCCCTGTGGAGTAGGTGGTGCTAGGGGTTCTATCCTCATTTTACAAATGAGGAAATGGAGACCAAGGAAACTGAAATAGCTTAACTAAGATTACAGAGCTAATAAATGGGAGAGATGATATTTGGACCAAGGTCTCCTGATTTCTGTTCTAGGGCTCTTTTCTCTATCCCATTCTTCTGAAAAAGGAGAATTTCTCTTCAAGGGCTGCCAAACAAATTTCCATTGCCCATCTTATGTTTACTCACCTGGGACTTTCATGTCATATTAATGAATGTTTTCAAACCACCAAGCCACCTTGTCTGTTTAGCCTTGTTTTTTTGTGATAACACTTAATTTTAGATTTAAACCACCCCCTTGACTGTTCTACTAGTTTTTAGCCATAAATATTTATGCTTCTCTAAGTGTTCTCCAGCAGAAGTATTATAAGCAATGTCATAAGCAATCCTTTCCATTTGTTGTCAAATACATCACACTTTTTACTTTCTTAATTGGCATGGTGGTGGCCCATAGGGAATTACAAAGTGATAGAATTTAGAGAAGATCTAGTCCAACCCCCTCATCTAACAGATGAGAAGGTATGTACCAGTAGCATGGAAGATGTCTTGGGTAAAGTCAAAATATAAATGGGATGACCTATTTAGGCTGAGGTTCTCCAAATGCTGTTATTCACAGGTGAGATTGTACTAATTGCTTTTGAGATCTAGAATGCTACAAGTCACCTCAGGGAAATTCATAGTCATGAGAAAGAGATCATTTAACCATCTACAGTGGAAAACAAAATGGATAAAACCATATTGCCCAAACTGCAGGATGGATGCAAATAGACAGTGAGGTGAGCCTAGAGTTGAGTGGTAGGAGATTGGACTGTATTGTATTAAGAAAACTGCAAGGGCTTTCAGTGATCCCAAACCACAAAAGTCCATCTCTCTTAACACCAGTCTTCTCTTGGTGATATTGTGTGTCTGTGAATCACGAAACACTGTGATCTCAGAAGAATAAAAATTGCAGATATCCTAAATGGCCATGAAAAGTTATGAAAAGGGTACAAATAGGCTGCAACATGTTATCAGTGATGATCTATGAATTAAAGGTTCAGCAAGAACACGTTAAGACCAAAAGAAGGGATGGTTCAGTCTTAGTGTCAATGAGAGACAACAGATAGACAGCCCAAGTTGTACATTTCTGTCTCAGAAATATTAAAAAAGCCAAGGGAAAACTTGTAACATTTTGCATAAAACTATGGAGGATTTACATAAAAACACAGATCGGGATGGTACAGGATAGAAAGGCATGGAGGGGCTGGGATTTCCATGAGATGAGGAAGTACCCAATCAGATGACATGATGGACCCATTCAAATACCAAAATATGGGCCTTGGTGCCTCTCTTCCTGATTGGCTTCATGCCTGGAGTTGGAGCTGGAGCTGGAGCTCCTAGGCTTGAGAATAGTTCAGATCTGGATTGGAGAGATCACTTATCAGAGATCCCCACAAAGGCAGCTCCTTTATATGCTCTGGTGAGGTCTACTACAGAATGTGGTGAATTTTAGTCCCGGCTCTGACACTAATTTGCTGTGTGACCTTAGACAAATTACCCTGGACCTCAGCTTTCTCATCTGTCAAATAGCATTATAAGACTAAGAGTTGGATGGGACTATTCAGGTCATCTTGTCTAGCCCTCTTATTTTATTATTATTTTTTCCAACCCCCTCATTTTATAGATGAATAGGTAACATGGCACAGAGCAAGAATGCTGTGCTAAGACTCAGGTGATCTGGGTTCTAGCCCTGGTTCTTCTGCTACTTTGTAGTATGACTTTAGGCAAGTAATGCCCCTTTTCTGGACCTCAATTCCATACTAAAAAAAAAAAAATGACGGTGTTGAACAAAGCTTCCTTTTGGCTCTGAAAGTCCGTGATGGAGGTAAGGGAAAGACAAAGTCAAACTGATTCCTATGAAGGAGAAATGACTTGCCCAAGATGGCAAAGGTAATAACTAAGCAAAACCACCTGTATGATGAGAAATGAAGAGAGATTACCTAGAAGCACCTGAGAGGTAGGTTTTGCTACCTTAGAGCCATCTGTCTTGGGACAGAGTAAGTTAATCATAACTGGAGATCTTCAGACAGAGACCATTTTTCAGGCATGCTGTGGAGAGCACAGATTGACTAGTTGACTGCAGAGGTCCCTCCAGACTCCCTGTGACTCCCAGCCCTGTGCCCACTCTCGAGAGGCTGCAGTCCCTCATCCCCGTCTCTGTCCGTGGTTATGAGGTTTCGCTAGGGTGACCTTGAAACAGCTCAGTCTCCCCTTAAGTGACCACAAGCATTCCCCAGCCCCAAGATTCTGCGATCCTCATGCTTTTGGTAGGCCTTCCGAGATGGACTCTGCCGAGCTGAAAAGGAGTCAGGGGCAGGTGGTGGAGTTCAAGAGCCTTTTACAGTCTGCTGAGGTGGAAAGGGACCGGCTCTCCGAGTTTGTCGCTGTCCTGCAGAAAAGGTAAGGTCCCATGAAGGGCTTCTCCCATTCTTGACCGCGATGCTCCAACTGTCACCAGCCCCACTGGCTTCTAGAACCAGGGCATTCCTTTCTGTCTTCAGTCTGTTCAGCTCATTGACCTGTGGCTTCCATAGCTTTCTGTGCTTCAGCTAGAATGATATAACTCACTGGAGTTATCTATGATATAATATAACTCATTGGAAAGTCTCTGTCCTTTGCTCCCTGGGCTTATTTTATAGTTGAGATGTGGTTGTAACATTCATTCATCTGACATTTATTAAGCACCCACTGTGTGCAAAGAACTGTGGTAAGTGCAAAGGGAGGCACAAAATGGGTTAAAAGTAGCATAACTCTGCTTAGAGTCAAAAAGATGTGGTTCACTTCCCAGCTCTGAAACTTACCTGCTCCATAGACGCGGGCAAGTCATTTATCCTTTATGGCACCGAAGGTGAAGAAAGAAGTAGTTCTCCCTTTTGTACCTCCCCTTCATCCAAGACAGAAGCCAAGTCGAAGGCCAAGAAGGCACTGTTGAAGGGTATACAAAGCCAGCAAAAGGAGGTGATCTCAACATCCTGCACCTTCTGGCAACTCAAGGCCATTTTGCTTTGAAGACAGACCAAATACCCTTGGGAAAGGATCCTTGTGAGAAAGAAGCTTGCTGCCATTGGCTTTTCCTTCACCACTGAGCTTGCTATGAAGAAGATTAAGGACAAGACTGCCCTGGTATTCATTGTAGATATGAAAGCCAACGTACATCAGATCACGCAGGCAATAAAGAAACTGGATGGCATTAGCATGGCCAAGGCCGGCACATTGGTCTGGCCTGATGAAGAGAAGAAGGCCTGTGTTCAACTCACCCCAAACTGTGAGGCCTTGAATGCTACTGACAGAAATGGAATTCTCAAAACTACATCAAACTAGCCTGCTCCACTTACAATAAACTATTTTCCAGTAAAAAAAAAAAAGAAAAGAAAAAAAAGAAGATAGCTGTTTCCCTTGCCTGGAACACACGTTCCCTTCTTCTTTCTGGTCATTGAAATCCTTCCATTTACTTCAAGTTCCAGCTCGGCGATCACTTCCTCCATGAAGACCTCCCTCATATTTCCCCTTGAAAGTGGTCTGCTCCTCCTCTCTGAACTTTCTTTTTTTTTTTTCCAAAAGCATTTCTTAATTTATTTTGATTTATCAACAATCACTTCCATAAGCTTTTGAGTTTAAAATTTTTCTCCCCCTACCTCCTTCCCTCCCTCCCTCCCCAAGATGGCACACAATCTGATAGAGGCTTTCCGTATACATTCCTATTAAACACATTTTCATATTAGTCATGTTGTAAGGAAGAATTAGAACCAATAGGAGATACCACAAGAAAGAGGAAACAAAACAAAAGAAAAAAAATAGCAAATAGTTTGCTTCGATCTGCATTCAAACTCCATAGTTCTTTCTTTGGATGTGGGTAGCATTTTCCATCATGAGACTTTTGGAGATGTCTTAGATTCTTGCATTGCTGAGAAGGGCTAAGTCTATCAACATTAGTCATCCCACAACATGACTGTTCTGTGTACAATGTTCTCCTCATTCTGCTCGCTTCACTCAGCATCAGTCCATACAAGTTTTTCCAGATTTTCCTGAAGTCTGCCTGTTCATCATTTCTTATAGCACAATAGTATTCCATTACATTCATATACCACAACTTGTTTAACCATTCCCCAATTGATGGGTATCCCCTCAATTTCCAATTCTTTGCCACCACAAAAAGAGCTGCTATAAATATTTTTGTACAAGTGGGTCCTTTCCCCATTTTTATGATCTCTTTGGGATACAGACCTAGAAGTGGTATTGCTGGATCAAAGGGTATGCACAGTTTTATAGCATAGTTCCCAATTGCTCTCCAGAATGGTTGGATCAATTCACAACTCCACCAACAATGCATTAGTATTCCAATTTTCCCACATCCCCTCCAACATTTATCATTTTCCTTTTCTGTCATGTTAGCCAATCTGATAGGTGTGATGTGGTACCTCAGAGTTATTTTAATTTGTATTTCTCTAATCAATAGTGATTTAGAGCATTTTTTCATATGACTGTAGATGGCTTTAATTTCTTCATCTGAGAACTGCCTGTTCATATCCTTTGACCATTTATCAGTTGGGGAATGACTTGTATTCTTATAAATTGGACTTGGTTCTTTATATATTTTAGAAATGAGGCCCTTATCAGAGACACTGGTTGTAAAAATTCTTTATCAGTTTTCTGCTTCCCTCCTAATCTTGGTTGCGCTCTAAACTTTCTTAGAGCATTTTGACTGGCTTTTGAAACTCAAAAACATTTATTAAGTGCCTCCATTGCTGTCCTATCAGAGGTGGAGAATCTGCAGCCTCAAAGCCATATGTGGCTCTCTAGGTCCTCAAGTGAGGCCCTTTGAATCCAAATTTTGTAGAACAAATCCCCTTCATAAAAGGATTTGTTCTGTGAAACTTGGACTCAATCAAAAGACCACACTCAAGGACCTAGAAGGCCATGTGTGGCCTCGAGGCCACAGATTCCCCACCCCATCCCACCCCAAAGGACCTGTGTCCTTATCACATCCTACCTTGTATCATATTTATTGGTAGATATCTTAAATCCCTTTTAGTGTATTACATTTCTTGATGAGAAGTATTGTGGACCCTCAGTATCTATAAGTGCTTAAATTAAATGCTTGTTTAGGAAACTGAAGGGGTGGAAAGAGGCAGAGAGATAGCAGAAGATCCAGTCCTTATCTGTAAAGAGCATATCATCTAGATGGAGAGAAAAGATACACACAAATAAAACAATTAAAGAATAATATCTATAATAAATATATAATTTATTATATAATATATAATTTAATATAATAATAAAATAAAATGCTAAATAGTATTATGGGAGCAATTAAGGAACAACAAAATGAAAAAACAAAATAAAAATGATCATTGGTTAGTGCAGACACAAGTGCACCAGGAGTTAGAGAAGGAAGGGAGAGATTAGTGTGGACTTGAGTCACCATGGAAAGTGACAGGAACAAAGATTCTATTTCATGTGATTGTTGCATTTAGTAGTTGAAAGGATACCTATCATTGTAGTGACCTTGTGCAAACCTCAAAAGGGCCTGAGCAGGACACTTTTGGAAATTACATGCTGAACTTATGAAATACTTAAAAAGCAAAGAAAACTGCATGTAATAGAGGTCTGAGGTTTCATGTAAAATCTTCTTTCTGTCCTACTGCTTATATGGAGATATTAGTTTATTTGGAATTTGTTGTTTGGAATAAAAAAATCTAATATTAATCAAAATAAAAAAAAAAAAAGAAAGTCTGCTTCCCATGCATTAATAGTGATGAGTGGTGGTCTCTGCCTGGGGTTGAGGAAGCAGGAAATCATTTGGAAGTAGAACAAGCTGGAGGAAAAGATGCTGGCTAGATTCAGACAAGCGCTGAAATGGAAGGGAAGACTGGCTTCTGGAACAGGGATCCACACCAAATTAGGAAGTCAAAATACATGGAATATGAGAGAGTGGACTGAATAAATTTGGTAATGCCATCCTCAGTGCTCAGGATTTTTCATTAGCTCCCCGGTACTCCCTATCACATAAAGCTCAAATTCTTCAGTCCATCATTCAAAGTCCTTTACCATCTAGAATTATCCTGCCTTTGCAGACTTCTCTCCCACCCTGTCCTTTATGTACTCTGCTCTCAAGTTAAACTGGACCACTCTCTGCATCCTGGTCACTCTTAACTTCCTTCCCCTTTCCTATGCTTTTGCTTATACTGCACTGTCCCTTGGCCTGAGACATTCTCTCTCTTCTCTTCAACTATTGGGTTTTTACCTATTCTTTAAACCCTAATTTAAAGACCACCTCATTCAGGAAGCTTTTGTTGTTTCCTCTATTACAAGGACCATCTCGCTTATACCCGACTTTATTTGCATCTCTTAAAAAGAGGGAAGACGCTAGTTACATCTTTTGATCTTGTGTCACTGTCATATCTAGATATACCTCACCATCCATTCCCTTGAACTAAACACTCCCTAGAAACAAAGCAAAATAGATAAGTAAAAACAACTAATGGATTGAGTATGTCTCACAATGTAGTACTTGTGGACCATTAAGGAAACCACTGCTGGAGCCAAGGGATTGGAGAATTGGAGTGCTCTATTCTGGATTGAAGCATGTAGGCTGATCAGATTTGGCCTCTAATGAAACGGGAGGTAGATCTCCTTTTTCACACTCTTTGGCCTATTAGATCCCCACCCCAGGATCCCAGGGACAGTTATTCGAAGCTTACGGCTGTGGCTTGTGCCTACGTCTCTCCAAATGGGGAGTAAAAAGGCACTATGAATCAGATATGGGACAGGTATTTTAATTCCTATATACAAAAGTAATACTAAATAAAAAAGATCATAGTACTCATGAACAGAATGACTTCCAATAGAACTTGGTAACTTAGAGTTATTGTTAAAATCTGCTAGGAGGCTGATACTCAAACCTCATCAGAATGGAAAGCCTTTGACAAGACTGATTAGGTATTTTATATTTCACCTCAGCTCTGCACTGTCTCTCTCAGTGTCTCTATGTTTTGAAGAGCTGGACCAGGGTCTTGGTCTCATTGTCTTCTCAGTGGTTATCTCATCCAATGAAATCACTTCCCTTGCTTCCTGCCAGCTTTATTCAGTGGACCTCTCAAACTCACAAGGTTGCATCCAAGCTTGGATGTACCCATTTTGAGGTTCATACTTGGTCATCTGCTCAAGAGAGGAAACATGAAGCAGAAAAGTCAACCAGGACATATAGGCAAGGTCACCTTGTGGAGTCCCTTTACTCTAGCTGCCACAAGATTCTAGTTGCCAGGATGCTGGAGGGCTGTGTGTGTGTGTGTGTGTGTGTATGTGTGTAGAGTCAACCCACCTTCAACCCCTCGCTAGAAGTCTCTGATGCTAGCTGGAGGTAGCACTCAATCAAAAGTTATCTCTTCTTTTAACTAACA